GCCCTGAAGCGCCCGCCCCCGCGGAGCCCCGCCCGCCTGGCCCACCCCCGCGCGCGCTGCCGACAGCTCCACGCGCGCCTTTCCTGCGCCACTCCACCCCGCCGCGTCAGGCTTTGACGTGTGGGTCGCGAACTCGCGCTGCAACTCGTACAGCGCGGGCAACCGCGAGTACCGCAGCACCGACGCGGGCTACTGGCAGAGCTCCCTGGACGAGCTCGCGCTGCTGGACCTGCCGGCCACGATTGACGCGGTGCTGCGCATGACGGGCGCGCCGCAGCTGTCGGTCGTCGGGCACTCGCAGGGCGCGGCGCTGCCGGCGATGCTGCTGGCGGCGCGGCCGGAGTATAACAAGAAGGTGTTCGGTGGTGTTTTGGATGGCAGGCGCAGGGACGTTGTGACAGCATGGGATGGGAGGAAGGGAGGAGGGGCGGCGGGTCGTGGGCGTTGGCAAGGGGCGGGTGTGGATGTGGGGTGAGCAAGTGTGATGCGAATTTGGACGTGTGCACGTGTGTGTATGCGCACGCTGGGGCGTGGTTTGAACCGGTGTGTTTTTGTTTTGTGTGTGTGTGTGTGTGTGTGTGTGTGTGTGTGTGTGTGTGTGTGTGTGTGTGTGTGTGTGTGTGTGTTTGTATGTTGAGCGGGCCACGGCGAGCGCCTCCGAGTCGGGCGAAAGGCAGCAGGAAGCTTCCAACCGCGTTCCCTCATCTTTACGATGCCCGCCCTGTCCTCCCACCTCACCCCTTACCCCCTGCTACCATCACCACCTCCACCACCACCTCCACCATGATCCTCACCTTTAGCCCCTCACCCACCCCGCTGCCCCATGCTTCCAGGTTGGCTTGGTTGTGATGCTGGCGCCCGTCATGTTTGCCGAAGAGCTCAAGACGAAATTCCTCACGAGCCAAGCGCGCAAAGGCGGCGCATCGGTGAGCAAAACCGCGCTCCCCGCTGCCTCCCGCGCCGGCGGCGCCCGCCGCCCTGCTGCGCCCGTACGCCTGCCAGGCCCGCATCTCGCAAGGACGAACGGGGCGGCGGGGATGGACGGGCCGCTCCCTCCGCCGCGCGTGTTTGAACCCAGCCACCACGCCGCACGACCGACCCCCTCGTCCCGTCCCGCCCCGCACCTCCAAACCCCTTATCTCCCTCGCAGCTCCTGGCCGACGCCGGCATCGGCCACTTCCTTCCTAGCACCATGATGGCCCACCTCCTGCAGGGCTGCATGCGCTCCCACCAGTCCAAGGCGTGGTGCTTCAACCTCGTAAACTTCTTCCTGTTCGGCCCCTCGAGCCGCGTCGCGGACGACGACTTTGCGCGGCTCGCGGCAGCATGGCCGTCAGGCATGCCGCTGCGCGTCATCATGCACTGGTCGCAGGTCCGCGTGCGTGGGGCGCGGAGCGGGTCTGCAAGGGGCCGCGGCACGAGAGCGGGTGCCGCGGGAGCTGCCCGCCGCCTGCCTGCAGTTTGCTCGCGCCTGCAGCCGCTGGGGCCGGGTGGACGGGGGTGATCAGAAGCAGGTTCCACGGCGTCCCTCGCTTAGGCAGCTGTGGCGCCGGTGGCGCGTGCGGGGGCGCAGGGCGTGCGCTGCACCGCTCTGGACTCAGATTGCATCCGTCCACTAGCGAACGTGCACTCACGCCGCGACACACGCCGTCCCCGCCGCCGCGCGCCGCCAGATGCACCGCTCGGGCCGGGGGCTGGAGATGTTTGACTACGGGTCTGTCTGCGACGGCCCCAGCGTGCACGGGCCCTACCAAGAGACCTGCAACCAGGCGAAGTATGGGCAGGAGGTGCCACCCCTGTATGACATCAGCCGGGTCACCACCAAGGCGGCGGTCATGTATGGTGAGCGGCAGCCAGCACAGGGGTCGAAAGGGCCGGGCAGAGGAGCGCAGGGGGTGCTGCCCTGGGGGACGCAGCCTGATGGGGGTGGATGGACAGTCGAAAAGGCGGGGGCCGCGCGGGCGGCGGCGCGGGGTGTGGGGACAAGACGGGGAGAGGCAACACCTTGACAAACACGGTGGCGGGGCCTCCTGCACTGAGCTGTTGCACCAACAATGCAAACAAAGTGTACACAAACACACACTCACACACACACGTACACACACACGCGCGCGTACACACAGACGTGCGCACACACACATGCACACACACACACACCCTCGCTTGTTTGTGTTGCAATCATCCCCATCAAGGCGCCGACGACCTTTTGGGGACTGAGGCCAACGTTGCCAAGCTGCTGGCCAACTGGAGGGCCGACGTGGTTTTCACAAGGAAGTACCTCAACACAGCGTGAGTGTGCGGCGCCCAGGCTGCCCGGGCATCTGATTGCCAACCTTGCATGGTGCAGCTTGCTCAGGACTCCTGAAATGGGGTTGTGCGCGCAGCCTGCATCAGGACTATCTGAGTGGGGGTCAGATTCGTCATCTCCGTGCTGGCGTGTGGGCAAGGCGGGCAAGAGTCATCGCCTCTGCGGTGTCAAAACGCAGCGGCTCGGCATCTTCTCCAGTGTAGCGGCGACCTTGGATGCTGAGGCTGCCTGTGCATCAACCCTTGATTGACCTTCGCGTGCTGACTCGAACCTATCAAGCCCCACCCATGCATCCCCCCCAACACACACCGCAGCCACATGGACTTCATATGGTGGGTTTATTGGAGTCTGGTCTTTGCTGCTGGTGCTGCCACAAGGCAGCCGTGGCACGCAAGAGCATGCGCAATAGCGATGCCGCGCGCGACTTCCCGCCCGGCTTCGGCCAGCTGCACGCCGACGACGCCCTTACCCCTGCGCCTCGCACCCTCTGCCTATAACATCTCTCAAAGCGGCAGCCCCGGGCTCTCACCCATGCCTTGCCCCCTTGATTGCTATCACAGGGCCAGAGATCCCCGGGTCCTGAAACGAGATTTGATCAAAGTCCTTCGAGACCACGGCCCCGCAGGCGCTCGGCCCAGGTAGCGCCACCATAACCTCGTTCTTGCTGCGCACGTGCACGCGCGCGCACAGCCGCCCGCCCCGCGTGGGCCCTGGGCGCCGCCGGGCGCAGGAGAGGGGGACGGGCCGCCGACTCCGCCGAGGCGGCGCGGCGTGCGAAGCGGGGGGCGCGAACGACGTACGGCAGACGAGAACCCAATCAAGTACGGGCTGCGGGCCGTCCTGATTATTGACGGCAATGGCGTTGCCACCCCTTGAAGCGGCCTGCAGCCGTCGTGCGCAGCTGGAGTGCGCCGTAGGCGCCCCCGTGATTCGTCCCGGCCCGCTCGTTGCCCGCTGTGCACGCCGATGCGGGCGCTTTCTTGGATCTGACGCAGTCGCCCCTGAGGAGCCGGGAATACCAACAGTCGCCACACATTAGACCGTCGGATCACACGGCGCTCCGCAGCATACTGTCGCCTGCTGGGGCGCCCATCCCGAGTTCATCTTTTGTGCGAAACCCATTGCCGCTGCCGGCGGTTGATTGTGCCATGGAATGCCAGGGCCAGGGCCTGTTCAGGAAACGCTGACCCCCCCTTTGGATCCCTATGCACGCACCTGAGTTGCCCTGGGCCGCGTACCTTGAGACCCCTCCCTCCGGCGCACGCCCCAGGAGTGCTGGGGACTGGGCCGCTGCCGCCCGCCATCGCCGCGGCGCGGGGCGCGCCGGGCCTGTTAGGCGCGTGTGCCGCGCATTCGCGGTGCGGTCACGCTGATTGTGACAGATGGGTGGTGATAGAACCAAAGGGCGACGGACCGGGGTGAGGCAGCCTCTTTCTTTGAGCCTGCAAGCAACCGATTTGGGAGCGGTTGGGGCCGATGCAGGCGAACTGTGCTTCCGCACGGGTGGCCCACGGCCCAGGGGTGTCTGGGGCCCTTGTTTGATGTTTGGGGCCGTTTGAATGGTTGATGAGATGATGATGACAAAGACGATGTGTACAAAACGCGCCAGGGGGGTGTTGACCCTGGCGCCTGCCCTCCCTTGAGGGCCAGAGTGACGGAGGCACAAGTGCGGCGCCCCTGCGCACCTCAACGCACCCCCACTAAACTCAAATAGTTGCCGCCCGCGCACCACCCCCTCGTGAGCTGTGGCACCGCCCCATCCCTGCAGCGGGCGTCGCGGCTGCGAGGCCACCTTTACCGTTTTGCACACGCCCCGAGAGCGTCGGCGGGGGCAGGGGCGCGGCAAGCGGAGCTGGCTGCCAAGGGCACGACACCTGGGGCGCGGGCTGCTCAACGCTTGCTCCCACCGCAGTCAGCATCAGCGCTAATATTTGTCCGGGATTTTGGTTGGGATTCTTGCAACGGCCCAGAAGTGGGCCGACTGTCCAGTCATGTGGTCTGATGTTTGGATGTGAACCTCCCACGAAACATCATGATTAATTGCCAAGCAATAGGACTCTCCCGCAGGCCTCTGCCTGGCGCTCGCATATCTTTCACGAAAAGCCAGGGCCACGATGGATATTTGTGCAGCACTCCATTCTTTCTCCTATGCTGTAACCGGCCGCCTGACACTGGCGCAGTGATTAGTCATCTAGGGTTGTGTCACAGCTGAAGACTAGCAGCCCTTTAAGATTCTCAACAGAATTCTGCACAGTACAGCTTGCCCCTGCTGCAGGCGGCAGTGCTAACAGCGGAGTAGGGTGCGGCGTGGATCGTGGATCCACGCCACGGGCGGGCAAGAGCCAAATGATGGCGTGGTCCAGCAGTTGTGCGCGATGAGACCTGGAGAAAAATGCGGACTTTGAATGCTCAGCACTCATGGGCATACGGTACACATTTGATCTTGCATACGCATTGATGTTATGTACACATAAACCAGGCTCAGCTTGTGTACTGGGACGCTGTCCGCCCAACTGACGAAGGGCATGCACATTCTGCTGCTGCTCCAGCACCTCTACGCTGGGAGAATACGGGGAAGAGAGCTTGCGATCGCTCACGCATGTCACTTTCAACACATTTGATTTGGAATCTGATTGTGCTCCCACGCGGGCTTGTGTTGCGATGCATTTGGCGGTGCAGTAGGCCGACCGGTGTCACGGTGGACCAGCATCAGGGATCCACGGGTGGAACAGCGTGTGCGCCTTTTAAAACAGTATCTCATAGACAAATAAATCACTTACGACCAGCGGACCCTTCGACTGCAGCGCCAGCGATGAGGCCCCCACAGCGGCCGCGCGCCCCCGCTGCGGTCGCCGCGCTGCTGCTCCTTGCTGCCGCGCTGCTCGGCGCCGCGCGCGCCGCGCCCGCCGAGGCGGAGGGGCCCGTCGCACCCGCGTCGCTGGAGTCTCTGGTGCCCAGCGGGTTTGCGGCGGCGGCCGCCAAGGCGATATCCGCCTACTCGTCGGTTTTCAAGGACGCGCGGGACCGGCTGGAAGGCGGCCAGGTGGGCGCCGGCTTGTCCGACCAGGCGTGGCAGGCACTGGCGTCGGGGACCGAGAAGCTGCAGGGCACGCCGCTGGCTGGGCTGATCAGTATATCCGTCCACGAAATCTGCCCCATGATTCGGTGAGGGGGTCTGACGGGACAGCTTTGGCACCGTGTTCGAATGTTGTCCATTGAGGTTTTGAAGGACAGCTGCGATCATGACAGTTGCACAGTCGATGCGAATGGCAAACCCATGGGGCGGAGGGACGGGGTGGGGAAAGGGATGGTGGCCCGCGCGACGCGCAAGGCAGACGGCTTGCGATGGCACGGGACAGGCAGCGTGGCGGCAGCTGCCCGGACGTGCCCGCCGCTCCCGCTGCGCAGCAGCGACCGGCAGCCGCCGTCAAATGGATCCGCCGTCGGTTGCAATCTTTTTTTTTCGAATCGCCGCACTGCGCTCAGATCCTTGCGCCGCCTTTCCCGCTTCACGACGCGTCCCAACCTCCCGGCTAGCAGCCGCTGCGAAGCACCTGCCTTCCCATCGCCAACCCTGCTCAAAGCCCCCCATATCCTCCCTCCATCACCACCACCACTGCCATCACTACCACCACCACCACTGTCACCACTTGTGTCACTGTCACCACACCCTTATTCATCATGTCACGGCCACCAACAACACCCTCACCACTTCCACGATCGTCGTCATGACATCATCATCATCATCGCTCCCGCCCAAAAAACTTCCCAGGGAGGTTACCGCCATGAGCTCCAGCGGCTCCTGTCTGGCGCTGTCAGTGCTCATGGCAAACCTCCAGGGCCGCAGGTCCCCTGGAACGCCCACAGAGTGCAGGAACAAGCTGCAGACGGGGTACGGGCCGCAGGTCGAGCCGGCCAACGTGTCGCCCTACACGGGTGGGTGCATGGAGGGGGCTGTGGAGTTGGAGCAGCACCAGCAGCAGCAGCGGCAGCGGCAGTGTTCGCGGCTGCACCAGGGTTAGAAGAGGAGGGGAAGCTTGGCATTTGGGGGTCTTGGCGGTTTGACCTGGGTCAAACACGCCTCTGCAACGGCCCGGCGGCTCGGCGATGTGCTTGGCCTGGGTTTTCAGAGTTGAGCACAGGGCTGGAAAGCTTACATTTATTAATGCTGTAGCTGGTTGTGAAGAGGGATTAAGAGGCTGGCGCTGCTGCAGGTGGCTGATGCTGCCTGTGTATATCATCCTTCAGCCAGGCGCTGCTACAGCCACGGCCCGACCATAACCATCCCCAGCTCCCACTGAACCCAGCCGCTGACGCCCTTTGCCTTCCCCGCCGCCCCTGCCCCCGCTTCCCGCACAAAAGGCGAGCCCGTCCCCAAGCCGCTCCCCGACGCCCGCCCCGTGCCGGCCGTCTTCTCCGCGCGCCGCGTGCGCGCGCTGCTGACGGCCGAGGCAAACACCTGGGGGTGGCTGTGGGCGTTGGTCAACAACCTGCTCAACTTCTCCATGTGCGCCAAGGGATCTGGCGGGCAGCTGGATTACCTCATCCCGACGGGCTGGGCGCCGGTCGGGCCATACATCGCAAACGCGACGCTGCCAGGAGTGTATATGCTGCCACAGGCGGACGGCAGCGCAAGCATGCCGTTCATGACCATGATCAAGACGGCTGGCGCCGAGTCAAGGAATGGGATGCTGGTGTTCATATTCAGAGGCACGAACTCTGGCCCGGAGTGGCAGATGGGTGAGCCCTCTTGGGGGGCCAGGGGCAGCGGGCCGCGGGGCGCCTCGGGTTGCGGGCGCCGCCCGCCACGGGCGACGTCTCAGCCCGAGCTGCGAGTTCCCGGGCCACGCACGTGCTGCAGCTGCCACGGGTCACGGGCTGCCTCCTCACGACAGCCGTCGCCGCCCTCCTTACACACCTCGACACCCGACACTCCCCCCCACCCCCACCC